TGGTCTTTCCCTGGGCGCCGGTAAAAAAAATCACAGCTCTCTAAGGGGGATGAGCGTGGTTTGGTGTAGGCACTGTGTCCCACGGGCCATTTCCTGAGGTCCCACCTTGGTGGTTGTGGGGAGAAAAATGGCAGCGCCCCAGTCCCTTCTTGAATCAAACATTGCAAATCACTCTTTTGGGTCCAATCTCACTGCGTCACAAGCATAGCCAAGGTGGGCCATGCTCTATGTCCCACACTTCGTTTCTAGATCTTAGGCTGTGCGCTTTATTGATACCATACGAAATATAAACCTGTAGGCCGAATCCTTCCAAGCAGTTTCAAGCCGGCTGCTTCCCCACTGGGGATCGAGCGGAGAGGTTTCAGGCTGTGCTGCTTCTCCTCCGGATCGAGCTGGAGAACAGAGAAACAGTTTCTCCTGTTGCCACCAGGGACAGGGGCGTCTAGCTCAAAGTCAGCTCCACAGCTGGAAACCGGATCATTCTCTGTCCCAAGCCAAGGTTTTCTCTTCTCCAGGGACAGGGACAGTTCTTTGAGGAGTTTCAGCTGGTCTTTCTTTTCCCTCCTACTCACTGCGGCTCCCCACAAAGGGGACTTCATCGCCTCCCTCAGTGACTCTGGGTCCCCGCCCATTTTTATCTTCCCCAGTTCACACTCATGCACCTCTAAGGTTGTTTTCTCAGTGGACTCTGTCTCCTTTTCCTCCCAAACTCCTGCGATTCTATAAGGGTTCCTATGGCTTTAGGCCTTCTCTGTTTGAGAGATGGGGGTGAGTGAAATGTACGGAGCTCCCTACTTCTCTGCCATCTTGCCTCCTCCTTTCCTTTGGTATTTTCTTATGCTCTTACTGCTTGCCCTGGTTTTCTGAAACCTTTCATTCTGCAAATTTTAATTCTGAATAGTCTTCTCTCTTTCTTATTTGAAATAGGTCATCCACACATCCATATGTGTATTATATATATATGTATTATATATGTTATTATATATAATAACATCACATCTATAGTGTGTGACAAGCCTCCTTGCGTAGAGACTAGCCCTGATAGACTTAGTTTTTTTTTTTAATAGTTTAGCACATTTAGCATAGAGCATGGTCTTTGCATGGAGGCACCAGTATGAACTTTTCGGTGGGACCAGCTAGACTGTGGCAAGGCCAGGCCAACAACTTTTGCTAGAAACTGAGTCTTCTGTGCATGTGGAGGAAAGC